GCTCCGCCTGTGTTTTCTGGTTGCTCTAACTAGGCCATGAATTGATCTACCTACAAATAATAAGTGAAAATAAGTGATCTAGAGGCTATATCATACTTACAAATGACTCTTGAGTCAAACAAGAATGCAAACCTTTATTCAAACAGAAGAGTCAGACAATAGTAGCGAAATGTTAAATATTTTAAAAGATTAAGTTGTCTAAATATTTGTTAAACCAGCTGATAGAGATCAACTATTCCTAACACTATTCAGAATAAAGAGCTCAGCTCTACAATTCTGTGTTTACAATTAAAAATATTGGTGTTACTGTCAGCGAGTCTGTTCCAAATGGAATATTTTACAAAAATATCAACTTAATTTAGAGAAACTCACCAATTATCAAGATGTTGAAACACATGTTGTATTTCAAATCATTCAATAATTTAACTGACAACATTCAAAATCTGAAATAGAAAATTAATGTAAAATTTACTAAGTTATAAAAAAAAATATGGGGATATTTCGCTCTCCCAAATAATTATAGAACTGCATCCCTTTCAGTATGTATATAGATATAATATGAAATGGGGTTTTAAGTCGTACTTTTCTGTACCTGATTTGGTTAAAGAAGACAGTATGCAGTGTACAATGTGGGCAATTTTTGACGATTGAAACATTAGTTTCCTCATTGTTAATTTCCTCAATAAGCAAGCACAACCTGTACTGCAAGGGACATCCCTTAAAGTGGCACGAGTAAAGAAAGGGTCACTTATCAATCTTGGAGGGCAAGGTAGTTTGTTGACTCATAAAGAAGACTCACCATTTAACAGCTAACTGGAACATAATTTAATATATATAGACCAACAAGTTTCTAACTGATGAGATCATTTCATTCCTGTAATAAATCATTAATCAAATTAAAATGCAAAAACAGGGATGTTTCGTATTGTTTAATTCAGGTGACTCCACTTACCATACATGATCTGACAAATTTGTTATTCATGTCCTGTTCTGGGCCATTTAGTATTCAACCCACTAATACACAGTAAGTACTGTAGGCTATGTATCAAATATTGTGTACCATATAAGATTTCCTTGCTATATGTCAGGAATTGCAGGGTATCTATTGACATTTTAAATGGACTAGTAGATGTAGTGTCTTACCAATGTTAAGTATTTTGGATTGGTTAGCATAAATTATGACAACTCTGGATGGTCATTCATTCTAAACACAATCACCAAATATAGATGAAGTTTGTTAAATCAGGGTTAGTGGATTTACCTGCAAAAAAAAAGAAACTTAACATTAACATCTGCATTTGAATCATGTCAAAGGTTTTTTTTTCACTCTGAATATAACAATTAAGGGACTACATCCCTTCAGTAACAGAAAGACCCCTCACAAAAATTCACAAATTCACCCTTTCTTAAACCTAGGCCTAACAGTTGGAATACCTGAGAAATAATTCAAGTAGTTTCCAGAAAAACCAGAAAGTTAATTATAAAAAAACTCACCATAGAAATATTTTCCACAAAATGATTTAAAACTTTGCATACTAATAACTTCTCTGAACTGCTGTCACTGTAAAAAGAATAATAATTTTTAGAATACAAACAACAATGTTGTGAATTGCTTCAAAAAGTAAAATTTTACTAGGTATTAAAGGGCTGTCATACTTTTCTCATAAATCACAAGACAAGAATCTGAATTCTCATAATAGGAAACCTGCATAGATATGACCTAATAACCATCCCCACCTCCTAATTCTGAACCTGTCTACCCTCATCCCTACATTATTATAAACTTAACAATTACAGGACACCATCCCTTTAATATCCCCACCCCCTATTTCTAAACCTCTCTACCCTCATCCCTACCTTAATATCTTATTATAATCATAACAAATTCTTTAATACCCCACTCCCTAATTCTAATCCTCTCTACCCTCATCCCTACCTTAATTTCTTATTATAAACTTAACAATTACAGGACACCATCCCTTTAATATCCCCACCCCCTATTTCTAAACCAGACTACCCTCATCTCTGAAGGGTACACATTACTTTTTTTATTTGCAGAAGTCTTTTGCTCTATGGGCCTAAATTGCACAGCAGTTTAAAATTTTGTATAGCACTTCTTAACGTATGAAGTATGTAAAGGTTCTGAAGAGTATCATTAAACTAAATGATTCTTGAATTGTAATTTAAATACCAGTGCAAAATATAAATACAAACAAAACTTGTCCATAATGATACTCCTGATATCTTCCATGTTACTTTTTAATTCATGAAATAACTTATATTTATCATATTTATTCTTGTGACATTGAACCTAAATTTTCAAGGTCACGCGCGTATGAATCTAGATTGAGAAAAGTCCAAACTAACCGATAATATTTAAACCTCGGGTTAAATATTTTGTTACAAATGGGAAAGTTGTAATGAAGCATAAGTATTTCCAATAATTTAACACATTTAGAAAACCATCTCTTTAACACCCCCACCCCCTAATATTAAACCAGATTACCCTCAGCACTACCTTAACATTTTATTCTAAACTAACAATTTCAAGACACCCTCCATTAAATACCTCATCCCCTACCAGACTTGCCTTATCCCTGCCTTAATATCATACCCCCCCCCCCCCCCCCCAAAGAAGACTTAAGCCCTGACCGGCAAATTGTCCCCCATTGAACACTGCATGGCGTCCACGATTATCATTTTTCAAATATAATTTAAAGAGGTTGTTAAGTGATTTTTATGTGTATCGGGAACATTAATAGCATCGATTTGCACCATTTCAATACAAAGGGACTTACATGACATAATATTGATACAGTATATAATATTATATAGGGTCTTAGGCTATAGTGACGTCATCAAAAACAGAGTTTTAGTGGAATTGCAGGAGCCATATGCGTCACTTTCACAAAGACTGTAGATATTATAAGCAAATTCTGCAATAGTGACGTCAAAAAAGTCTAGTTTTAGTGGAATCGGAAAAAATAAAACAGAGGTCTGACTGAAAATTGAAATGGTCCAAATCAATGCTATCATTGTCCCTATTTCTAGAAAACCAGTTAATATTCCTTACATGATTCCACCAAAATTTGAATGAAGAAAATGACTTACCTTCTTGTGAATAAGGGTCCAATATTTGTCACTCCTTCCAAAAGTGTCATCGTTTAATCCATTATTTCATAGAAATATCACAAATTAAACTGAAACCATCCAGAATAAATACAGATAGTATCAAATAAATCCCAATTCACAGATATTAGTCAAAGATTTAGCACTGAATATATCGAAATAATTCAAAACCATCCAGAATCCAATACAGAATATATCATAAGTCATAAGTCACGACTGATAAGACCGTAATCCCGCTCAGAAATGCGCACCCTTGGATATGCAAACGATGATTTTACGTTAAACTCCTCCCACTTTTTGACTGACAATTTGAATTTCAGCCAATCAGCAGCCAAAATTCTGCCTCCACGTGCTCTACGTGTCAACTCTTCCCGCCAAAAAATTGTTTTGAGTTTCTGATGGTTTTAAACTGTCACCTTCTCGTCAATTTGGTGAATGTTGATAAATTATTAAAGGAAAAGATCCACCAATATTTCAGAGTGACTGTTTGAAAGAATTTTGAATAGAGATGCCGGACTTAAATTTCCTTTGTAAAGACTAAAACCTGTTCAAAAATCTTTGGATCAACGAATAAAGTATATTTCGTTTAGTTACCGAGGGAAAAAATTGCCAAATTCACATGTTTGTGAAGTATATTACACGGAAGTGGACCTTTAATTCTTGACAGAACAAATAACATGATTGCTAGATTCGCGCCAAATATTACCCCGAAATTTAAAGGAAGATGTTACTGTTACATTAAAATTCACCTTTTTTCAAGTTTTAGGCCTAAATCAGACTAACCTCAAAGAAGATTTTACTGAAAAGCCTTGACTTTGTGACTACATAAATGTGGCAATAAATTCTGGGACGAAAGAGTGTAAAAGATGGAAATATGATTGCAATAGAAGAGATTAAACCACAGTAAATTTAAAGATAGTGGATCAAATATGGCGATATTCGGTATGCGGTTGGTGAAACGATATCTTCATTGTTAGATCATATAGGCCTGCCTACATACAAAGTCGTACGAAAATCGTTTGAAAACTGAAGATCTATACCAATTTCATCATAGGCTTAAGGGCCCAAGGCCTATTTGGGGGTTGGAATGGGGGGGGGGGGGGGGTCTTGTTTGCACCAAATTTTCCTACGATCGAGACTGGGGGTACAAATAAGGGGCAGATTGACTCAAATAATTTAGAACACCTTCAAATATTGATAATTTATGTTTATTAGGGT